AGAAGTTCATGGCCCTACCTCCATCTCCCCTCGGTTGTGCTCCAGCCAACTGATGTAATCCACGTTCTCCTGGCTACATGCCTTCAGGGTTGCATCCTGGTTGTGCTGCAGGGCATTGTACTGTCCTGTAGGGACTGAGGGCAGAAGGGCCAGCAGGCATGTGTCAGGTTAGGAAGCAGGTGCTTTCCCCACCCACCACTGTGCAGCTCTCTGGCCATGGGCCCTGGCATCCCAGCTCACTGATGGTGTTGGTTTCTCCACAGTACAGGTGGAAGCGGCACTCTAATTCACTCATACGATGTTCAAGGTCTCCCTTCTCCTTCATACACTGCAGGAAGTGGCTCTGGAGCCACAGAAACAGTGTCAGGTCTCAGCAGCAACTCGCCCCATGCCCACCCTTTGTGCACCATGTTAGTACAGACTCACTCATCTACAGCTGCACCATGGCCGGCTCTAGGGCCTCGTGGCTCTCCCTAGACACACAGCCACCCCTGGTCCCAGAGGCAACGGGCTCCCTCTCTGGGTCTTCCTGGGATGGAGCTGCCAGGTGAGCCAGCTGTTGGTGATAGAGTCCTTGTTCCTTCTGCTGCCGGCAACAGGTGCATGTGTTTTTGTAGGGACAACACTCAGGTCACAAGAGGGACAGAGATGTAGAAGGGAGCCCTTCCCCCCTAGAAACCTCGGTGGACCCTCCTGCTGTGTTTAGAGTTGGGGGTCCAGAAAACGTAGGGGGCAGGGAAACCAAATAGGAGGAGGGTGCTCAAAGGGGCCCTAGTGGGAGAAATAAAAATGTGTACAATACCCTACCCCTAAGACTGATTTTGCAGGGCTAAGCAGGGTCCCTATTTGTGGATTTTTAGCGATCTCAGAAGACGCCTATGACAGGACCAAATCAAGGATCTAAATTTTCTAACTGTGGCCACAGACCACCCAGTGATTCATGGAGACCACGGCCACAGCTGGATGGGGTCACGCTCGCGGGGGCTGCTCTCTGTCACTTGTTGTAACAACAGCTCTGACATCTCCAGTTTCTTCTGGAGCTCCTCCATCCTGAGCTGCCCAGCTGCCTTTTCGGCAGTGAGCAGTCGAAGTTTCTCCTCTAGTTCAGAGATCAGCTTCTTCAGGTCTTCATTGCTTTTGCTATGACCAGAGGCAGTGGAAGGGAATGAGCAAAAAACACATAGACTCACTTAGGTGAACAACCCACAACCTTAGCAGAACCATGGTACTGGAGAGGACCCTAGGATCAAAGTCCTGGGTGGCACTTAGCTGGGACTACACTAAGCTCTGTACTTTGGCATGCTCACCCTCCCATCTCCTACTATATTTCCCTCGGTAAGACTCCCAGGCCTCCCTCCCACCTTCACCCATCCTACTTGTTCTCATATAACTCCAACTTGAGGGAATCTCGGTCTTTGGTTAACTCCTTGTTGGACTGCAAATACAGAAAGGTTAAGTCAAGATCTGGCAGGGAAAAGATGAAACTAGCATACAATAGCAATGGCTACAATAACGAATCCACGGTAATACTTCTTCCCCGATGGGATGGTCCATGCCTAGCCTCAGGC